GTATAATCGTCGAAAGCGAGCGAGAGATTGTACTCAACTGTGTGATTGTAACAAGATTCGAATTTGTATAAATGCCAATGATTTATTGCCTCGAATCTGCTATTGTTTAATTTGTCTACCTAATCTAGACATTATTATAATACTAGCTAATGTACTGCATGTTTATTATCATTTTCTTGTATTGTTTATGCATGTTGCTTGTTTAGTGAATGTTTCATCTTATCGTTGTTTATTTTTATTATCGCTACTCCGATCTGCACAAGTCACCAGAAATTTATCGCATCCATTTATTAAATTATACATATCCATCGGGATCGTTTTGTTCTAAAGGGCATATAATTTCTCTTGCCTCTCATGAACACGCTTTTTCTCACTAATTCGGCGTTAACAACAATTCTTAATGGATTTCAGTCGCTTTATAAATAATGATATGTCCCATCATTTTCCATATCGGAAATGATTATGTTGGAATAACAGAGTAAGTATAAGAGACTAATTAACTTGTAACAGTTGCAAGGAGATAACGGCAGCTTAAAACATCCGATAAGAAGCACGCGCGCAGGGCGCTTAACGGTTTCATAAAAGAGATTGCGGTGAAGCTAATTAAGCGATATAATTCCTGCATCTTAAGACCCGTTAAAGCCAACATCAGCATACATCCACGGTGGAAGATACTTAAGATACCGAGCACCGATTTGCCTAATCATACATGACATTTTGGTGTTTCGTGCTCGCCGCACAATTCGATCTTTTGGGATATTGTTATTCGTATTCGTTTTCATAGCATTTTATTACGTTAACTTCTATGATATTTCAATGTTGATTATCAATGTGTAATATATCAGTAATATTTCTGTGATATATTATAATATGTAATATTTCTGATATATTACAATATTACTGTGATATTACTGTGATATTGCTCTATGTGGGATGTTTAAATTCTAAACTTTTAACTAAATTTATTACCTGTTTTAATAACTATATGTTAAAATGAGTCAAATGTGGATAGGCACACAAATTGGGGGCACATTAATAGAGCCATCGCCGCTTAGAAAACTCACTAATAGGGACAAAAACATGTTTTCTATTTTTGTCAAAAGCATTATAAAGTATTAACATTTTTTAGATTAAAGAAATATTATAAGAAAAAGAAGTAGTTGACAATCCGATTGATTGCAAAAGCAGATAAAATTAAAAAAAACTACAATATTTATAATAATTAATTCAGTAATGAGCAAATTGGCTAAAAGGCACATTAATAGGGACAGACAGTTACCTTGGTTAGTCATGCATCAGGTATTCCCGATCTAATTTCTGCTCGGGGTATCACTATATACATGCGTAAATTTCTAGTACGATATAAATTGCTCTTTTTTTAATACCGTCAACGGCAGGAGGAGAATGATCCCATTTGCCTACAATCCCGATTGTACACACCACTCATATTAGCTGATGCCTAATAATTTTTCACTGCTTTACCAATGAGAATATTTTATTTTTTAATTGGTCAATTAGCAATGCATGTGTGCAACATGCAGGGTATGGTCAATGTGATATTACAAATGCTTTAAAGCGTTTTTTGATTAGTCAATTTGTGAAATTCTTTCTTCTGATTGGTCCATCAAACGCTTCAAAGCATTTGTAGCGAGACTTTGACCACAACCGCAATGTGTGCAATCGGAGCCTTCCCATTAACGGCAATAACAACTAGTCTTGTTTTGTTACTTGCCTGAGTACACTCGTGCGCTATCGTTTGCCGAGAAGTGAATCGCGGAAGTGAAATTGAATATAGCATTATATTTATCATCCTATATTCGTCATAATATATTTAGCTCAAAATCAATCATTACCGTTATAAATGTCCCAGATAACACACAATATTACATGAATATTCTATGAAGTTTCAAATATACCTTTACAAGAATATTCTCAAAAGAATCATCTATACGTATTCACAGAATATTCTTATTTATAAGAAACAATCTGTAAATCTGCCTAGAATATGTTAAAATTAGTAATAAGATCATGTTGTTTGAATGTTCTCTAAATGTTCATAGAATATTTAAATGTACTGAAGATGTAGATGGCGTTCAATATCGATGAACCATTCAATCTCGATCTTTTTGTGCTCCATGTGATCGTGGCCATTCGCGCCTTGCGGCATTCGCGCCCATTCGCATCATCAAAATAATAACACAACACTGCCAATATGTGCCACTGAAAAGAACACGCCGTGTGAGTTTACGTAATTAAACCAAAGGTAAGTTCAGATGAAAATTAATAAGAAAAATAAAATAAAAGAATATACTAATAAAAATGATAAATATTGGGTGTCTTCCAACAATTAGCGACTCAGTACAACACAGTGATCATTTCATTCTTGTTTAACATTGACAAACAACAAGAATATAATGCGATCCACAGCTAGCCATATGTCACATCGTGTCATGTACGTGTATCTCTTTTGTTGGAAGGAACCCATTATTATCAATTTCTCACATCACGTTGTTTGCTTAGAATGAGATAAATTACAGAATAAATTCCTTAGTTTTAGAGAGAAATATTTTGTAAATATTCTTTATATTGAACTAAATACGTTCTCTAAATATTCTTAGAATATGAAAAAGAATATTTATTCCGACCTATCTGGAATATTTAATTGGTCTTATTTTGACATTCTGTGTATGTTTATAGAATATTTTTTAATACATTGTAAGAATATTTTAATATTCTCAACGAATGTTTATAGAATATTTATTGAAAGTGTTTGTGTTATCTTGATGCAAATTTTTTTGCAAAGCTTTTATTTAATTAAATAAAGATCATTCATTAGCTCTGTATCATTTATTTTATTCAGGAATTATATTTATTTTTCTCAAATAACACGTACTTAAATTAATTACTTTTCTTTTATCTTTTAGGACAATTCTCGGTAAAAAATTTTTCATGCATGAATATGTATAAACATATATAAATATTTATAAACACGCATAAATATTTATAAACATGTATATAATTATATATGACATACGTTCATATTTCTATTATTTCTATTACATTAAAAAGTAATTTTACAAAAGAAAGAAGGGTGTATGAACATGTATGGACATATTTCATATAGTTATACATGTTTATGAATATTTATGTGTGTTTATACAGATTTTATTGTAACTAGATAACGTAACTACAACTTTGTAGAAACATACATAAATAAGTAAAAGAGTATAAAAGAATGCTTTACTTATAAATTCCTTGTTCAATGCAAACCGGTTTGAGAAAAAAACCGCGGATAATCAAGTAAGTAATTTTCCAGCTCTTATTGTGAATATGTATAACCCATAATTAAATCCTTGAATAATAGTCATAAGTATAGAATTACATCACAGACAGCTAAGGACTTTGTAGAAAACTTACATCCCAGAATTTAAGGAACTCCTAAAGCCGTCCTGTATTATCACCTAAATCATATAATTTCTGTATAACAAATACATTTCTCTTTCACATATTCGAAAATTTTTTTCCAGGATTAAAGTATACGCATTACTACGTGTTTGTGAGGTGGATTTTATGCCGAGAACGACCAAAAATTTCAAAATTGATATATTTTTTACTATTTCTTAGGGCAACATGACGTCTCAAGCTGTCAAGTCGTGACAACATTTGCTTGAAAACGAAAATTTTGCAACCTTGTACTTACGAAACAGTAATCAAACACGTAGTTTATACGAACAAATAACGTTGAGTTCTTAGAATTATACATAAACCGCTATTCATAGTCAGATCTTATATTCAAGACCGTATGTCTTAAGTAGAGTCTTAAGTCACGAACCAATCAGAGGGCCGCATTAGTGTCTTAAGACATTACTTAAGACGGTCTTGAAATAAGAATCGACTATGAATACCGGCCTTAGACGCTTTATCGCGATGAATTTGTTATACGAAAATTGACATGAACGTGCAACTGCGTTGGGGAAAGTGGGAAATCGTGCGCAGCAGATAACTGCGCATCCTGGTTTGATACTTTTCCAATATATGAAGACATCACCGTGGAAAATTTTACGCAGGTCGTCCTCTTAAAATATAACTACAAAAGATACGACATAAATACGTTGCTAACCAGAAAAATACAAAAAAGTAAAATCACATCTTTTTTTATTATTTTAATATTTAGAAAATAAGGTGGTAAATCCGTATTTATAATTTGTTTGTTTAAACTTGCATATTTCATTAAAGTACGTTATTATGTGCGTCTTTTGAGCTATTATTCATCAAGTTCGGTTAGGAAGTGTAATTGTATTTCATATCGAGACAGATTGCGGGAAGCGTTTTGAAATGCGCACAATTACCCATCTTCCATATACTATATGACTAGCACTAATTTTTTCGTTTCTTTACATTATTATTTTATTTTGTCATTTTATTTTGCCAAAGACTATGTGCATTATTATTATATTAGTTTTGTATTATTTTTGCTTAATATATATAATATATATATTAACTCTCCACTTCCAGCTATACAATCGATTTGAACAACAGGAATTTCTATAATATGTCACTTTATATATTATGGATTGTGCCTAGGATAAAAACCACCATACAGTACGATGGAATTCATATTTCTAAACAAATAAAACTGTTCGTCTTCACGTATAATTAATCATTTGATTGAGATGTAGCTCGTTTCCAAGCTGTATCACTTTTTTATGAATCATTTTACATAGTTACTTATATATTCCAAAGAGATCGTGTTGAATCTCTCTAGAGATAAAATTAATTCTTTATAAAATTCAAAAAAGTAAAAATTTCTTTGTCGCTCTGTCATTATTCATGGCTAATGAAGGGCTTGCCTTGCAAGATACCTTCTTCATTTAATGTCATCGATTTTTCTAACTTGTGCATTCACGTGCACACTTCAAAAACTTTAATTTTTGTTTTTCAGACAAAATCGTAGAATGAAGCCATTACCTTTCTTCACAGAATTGGTAACATCACGATAAATATTTACTTACAAGACAAAAAACATCAAGTTGGTTTAGTGAATTCGACGCTTTAATAATTTAACGATGTGTCTACCAAGTATTGTACTTTATTTCGCATTTCTGCTTGTGGCTTCATTCTCGGAACCTCAGGATGATTTTACGAATGGCAATGAGCAGAGCGACAACTCGACGGTACAGTCTGATCCTCTCGTAAATTCTACGAAATATCGAAATGAAGAGATAAGATTGACAAGGTTTAATTCACAGAAAAATTCTATTAAGAATAACGATAAAATGCAACACGAATCCTGTATTAATTCTACAAACAACAATTGCAAGAATGACTCGGTGCGATACGAGTCTCGTGATCATATAATAAAAAATGTAGAAGATAACAATCAGACATCTATGAAATTTTATGCGAATTCGACAGAGATCAATGATTTCACGTTACAAGAAATTAATAAAAATCTCACCAAAACTGAAGACAAGAACGATTCCATATCGTACAAACTCAATTCCAACAGAATAATTGAAACTACTTTTGTTGAATATAGAGCGTGCAATGATAATATTACTTGTATTCAGTTCTGTTGTCCTTTTGGTAACATCTTGACGATGAAGGGACGATGCGTCTCTCGTAGAGAGGATAATAACGCTCTTCCAAGCATGTATGCTCTTCCAAACATGTACGCTCTTCTAAACTTAAACGAACACGAGAATGATTCCGAGGATGAAACAGTCGACGAACTATTTTTGACTATTCGCGATCCATGCGTTGCAAAAGGATATGATCACGAATTTTTTTTTCCCAATACATACTTGTTTCTCACCAATGGCTCTTTGTATAATAATCATGATGGCGAACACATTTCACCAAAGTCTTATTGCTTTGCCATTATGTTTCGGGACACATATGACGTGATCGTCTGTGATGATCGGACTACACTTCCAGTATTTGTATCCCTGTGCCTCCTATTGTCTTTACCGTTTCTACTGTTGACGTTCATAATATATTCCATATTGCCAGAATTCCAGAATATCCATGGTTATACACTGCGTGCACACGTGGGTTCGTTATTCATCACATACGTGATTATGTGTTTTGGCCAAGTTTTTGGATTCGGCGAAGTGAAATATTGCGTTGCATTAGGTACAGTATGCGTAAACTATATCGTCCCATTAATTAAAAATAACACAACTAAATAAATTAAGTTTCGGAAAAGGCGAAAAACTATTTTTCAACTTGGCAGAAAAATATTGACTAATTAAATAATATAACGCAATCAAACAATAATAAGCTTCTTTGAAAATATATTCTGAAAATACACATGATCAAATGTCATTTTTTTGTCATTTTTATTTCACAACAAAGCTACAACCTTTTTAAGTTGTGACGATTTTGATGTCCTTATAAAATTATAACAAATCCAGAATAATTTATCAAAAGTGACATATATTTCTGTCTTCCGAATAATTTAATAAAATAAAAATTATTAAATTTTTAAAAGAACAAATAATATAAAATAATATTTAACACATGCTTAAATCTTGAATTATACATTATGTATATACAATAACTCACATTTCTGCATGTAGATAATTTTCTGGTTTAAATAGAGAAATTATACAGTGAAGCATTTAATTTGATCAAATTTACTTTTCTTTTTACTTTGCAATACTGCAGAAATGCAGATAAAAAAAATATCACGAATACGATAGATATAGTAATAACTATAAATAATTGTCATTCTAATATATGCTCGATAATTAACACATTATTTAATTTCATCTTTTCAGCATATATCTTCTACTTCTTCTTTTTGTCAAGTTTTTTTTGGTTAAATGTAATATGCTTCGATATTTGGTGGACATTTAGGTGAGCAATAAGTTTCATATAATGTTATACGCATGGTGGAAGTAATAAGGTGTGCTCGTAATTAATTCAATTAATTTAATTAAATTAATATTCAATTTTTTTCAATGAAACTTGACGTTTAAACTGATAGTTGGTACCCAATCAGAACAACAAGTCACGATAATGTCAAAATGACATTAAAATAAATCGGAAATGATTGAAAAATGACTTAGTGATCATTTTCGAGTCATTTTGATATCATAATGGCTTGTTGTTCTGCTTGGGCATGTATGCTCGTTATATATGTGATTTGAATCAATTGAATTGTGTGCAAGTGCGCCGCTCCCAATGAGCACACCTTTTTACTTCCATCATGGTTATACGCAAGTAATATTATACAATGTACAGTATTCACCAGAGGATGGAAAGTTACTTTTTAACAATTATTCGTTATTTAGAAAAAGTATACTGAGAAACCCATTTAGTTGAATCAACCAAGGATTTGTTTGCCCATATCCAAATAAGAAATTAATCGATGCAACAAAATAATTTAATTGAAGCAAAGCATTTGGTTATTGTAACATTTCACTTGTTTCTGGTAGACGTCGACATCTGATAAAGTTGTTTACAATAACCAAGTGTTTGGCTTGAACCAAATTATTTTATTGTATCAACCAAGGATTTGTTTGCCCATATCCAAACAAGAAATTAATTGATTCAACTAAATGGGTTTCTCAGTGTAACAGTTATTAGGATAACTCCGGTATATACGCCGCGCTGGGATTTACGCCACGGAAGTAAAAAAAATAGAAGGAATGGGGGTAATTTTCTCGTAACTACTCTGTTACATGCCTTTATGCTATATTAGTATTGTCATAATTTCAGCTTCTTACTGTTAATATTAATGAAATTATTGTCAGTTGAATCGATTTGTCACTGTGTGTGTAACAAGTAGCTTCATCATAAATTATAATCTACATAAAATGATTACTTTAAGGCGTATAAAAGACCTAGTGGTTATTTCGTGATACATACGTGTAGAGGAATAGTAAAGTATGTTGTATAGCAAAATACAAGTGCTTTGCTTTCGTATTCTTTGTTTAGTTGGTTGAAATCCTTGCACTTTTGCCATATATCCCACCCATTATCAATATATAGCAAAAATACAAGATTTCAAAAAGTTAATTTTTTAATACGAAAACTAAATATTTCGGATTTCTAATATTTTTTTCATAGTAGTAGACAGTACAAAGTTTTTACTGATATTGTTTGTTTATTTTTAACATAGTAAATAATACTTAATAAATTAAGTTTTTGATAAGTGCGGCGTATATACCGGAGTTACCCTGTACACATATGAGTATATGTGTTGTAAGTTTTTATGATTATTACTTCACAAAGGTTTAATTTTAAAGAGAGAGATAAGATATTTTCAAACGCATATTATATATTGGATAATAATTTAATTGTTATTTACTAAACATAAATCGCATTTTATAGAAATCTCCTTCCGCTCCGTCCGTACCGAACAAAAATAAAGTCTAAAAAGAAGCTTATAATATATTCGATCTATGCATGGGGAGTCACCATCATTATCAACGTTATCTGCGCCATCATGGATTATATTCCCCTACCAGAAAATTTGGTCCGACCAGAAATGTGCGAAAAAAGATTTTGGTTCGGTGGTAAGTGATACCGGCAATTATTAACGCTAACGGAGAATTAATATTTAATTGAAAACTTGATTAAATTTCAACAATTTTTAATTTAAATAATAGACATGTCATTCACATATATTAGTGTAGTGTAATACAAAGAATTTGTTTTTCGTTTCAGAAAATGAAGCAAAAACATTATATTTTTACGTACCCATAGGTGTTACTATTATCAGTAACATTTATTTTTTCATCCGCACAACACTAACGATTCTGTACCAGAAAATACAAATAGCTAATCTGTTGAGGGACTATGAGATCATCCGCCATGATGAAAATAAGCAAAGGTAAAAAATGCGAAGATTACTTTAAAGTGTTGTAACTTTGCGCAAAAAAATCGCAGCAAATTTTATATCGCTGCAAGCAGCATTCCCCAAAAAAATTTTACAAAGTCTGTGCATTCCGTCAAACTTTGCAATTTTCAATATGATAAACACATCCTCATATTTTGGAAGTTACAGTGGTAGGGGTGTATTAAACGTAAAATCTAGCCATAGCGTCCTAAAGTAGAGATTTGAAGCTTTAATTTAAAAAAAAACGTTATCTTACGATAATTTGTCGCAAAGTTATTGTCAGTCGAAATTGGTCAATTTTTGCCCAAAATTATTCTTTGCCACATTTTTTTGAGCAGTGTATATTTTCTTAATATATGTTATAGCACAACACGCAAACACAACACACACAACACAACACACATACAAACAACACACAACACACGATTGTAATTACAAACAATACGAAAATATATTTGCTCACAGGTTTAATATGTACTTGAAGCTGTTCGTAGTGATGGGAATAACTTGGGTTTTGGAGATAATGTCGTGGGTCGATTTTGGTGCTGATATTGTACCACAGTTCATCTGGTATCCCGCCGACATCGTAAACGCCTTGCAAGGTCTCACCATTTTCATCATATTTGTGTGTAGAAAAAAGACCCTGCAAACGCTATTAAAACGATTTGACTGGAAATCTTGCGACCCATTTAAGATTCGAACAAGGAATATAGTCTCGAATACTACATCCACTAGAAGGTCCAGAACAATACCCATGCAACGAATCATTCGCTCTATTTAACAGCTAATCATCTTGCAAAGTTCAATTAGTTTCCTACTCATAAATGTTGCAATGCAAAGAGAAAATTCTAATATAGATGAGAGTTAACAATTAATTAGCAGCATAATTTAATTCTTCAGTCGATCTTACGTATGTACATACATGCTATATCAGATTATATTGTTTTATGTTGTTTTTGGTCTCTTTAGAAAAGAGATATTTGATGTTATACAATCTGTTAAAACATTAAACAATACAATATAATTTTTTTAAATAGAAAATTCGAAAGTAGATCGGTGACTCATCCCATGGATGAAAAAAAGCCGTCTTGAAATATTGGATCATATAACGATAAATATAATGAATTAACATTCCAAATTATTTGTGGATTAAACAAAAATCTTATAAATCACATGTTAAACATATCTCGTCAGGAACATAACTAATACGATTTAAATAATAAGTAAGATATGTCGGTCACTTAAATATATATTAAAAGAGGAGGCAAAGTCAATGTATAAACAATTACACAGATATTACATAAATCAGCTAAATAAAACTATTTTGTGTCTTTTACTATCTGTAGATAAATGTGATGTAAGCTTTGTGTATCCGAACGCAAATTGAGACTGTTCTCTCGCATAAGGATATGAAGGCATTCCGATATTAGTTGTTTATTAAGGAAACGATCTTCATCAAGTACTGCGACATTCTCCTAGTCGAACTTATGTTCAAAGTTAATTATATGATCTATAATCACCGAGTGATTATTAGTATTTCGGTTTATACGATTATACGATGCTCTGATAGTTACTCTATATAGTTAAAAACTATACTCTATATAGTTTTAAATCTGCTTCCTGTCTGCCTGACATATGATGCATCACAAGATTTGCACGAAATTTTGTAAACGATATTTTCCTTTTTTTCTTGTGGGAGGATGTGTTTTTGTACCTTAATCAATCTGTCCAATTTATTTTTACTGGTGAAAGCCTATTTAGTATTAAAGATATTGCTTATTCTTTTAAATTCATCAGAAATTGTAGGTATGTAAGAAAGCACGAATCAAGAAGCGCGATCTTTATTAATCTTCTTCTTATCTTTTGATTTGATCTGCTGTTTCGTGCTTTTTTATGAATTAGAACTTCGAACGTGCATTAATAGTATTAAAAATGGCAGTGTAATCATTTTTTAACAATGTATTAATTATGTACTTGAAATTTTTTTGATAATGTTTTAGATCTGATAACAAAAAAGTTCTATCAACCATGCCAGTTATTATGCCTCTTTTTTGTGAGAGTGGATAAGAATATATATTCAAATTGTTATTTTAGTATTGACATATTTCATATTCAACAAATGCACATACAAACAAATATTCTTCTGTGAGATTCTATTAAATTTGTTTACTATAGTAATAGAACCTTGAGTTTATTACAGTTATATATGTATAATGTATGTATAATATAATGGGTGAACTTCCGAAAAAAAAACGCCCGATAGTTTTGAATTTTGACAGAAATGCTCTAAATAGTCTAAATAATGTCAAGTGAATGCCATTAAATGGATTTTCACAGACACGAAGGTCTAATGCCAAAAATGTTTACATAAAGTTATGATAGTTGAATATAGAGACTAAAGTCAATTTACTTTGAAGAAATTTTGGTAGCATCGGTTATCATCATGAATTGATCACATGATCATAGTACTAGCGTCAAAAGTCAATTAGGGGAAGATGGGGCACGTTGTGACAGATTTTTTTCTTTTTGCTCCTTCTAGTTAGTGCGTAAAAGAATATTTCAATTTTTAAGAGATGAAAAGATTCCTCTTTCAACAAAGAACAATTGATAATTTTTCCAAATTTTAATCTTTGTAAATAACTGAGGAATAGCTACTGTCATATAGTCCATTTGTTTCATACTGCCCCATATATGGGGCACTATGTGACAAGTTTCGGGCAGTATGTGACTGGATTGAGTGTTACAAGGCCAGAAGAAAATCATTTTAATACGTTTGAAGGTTTATTATTGTATCTTTAAAACTCATCGGCACAATGTAAAACCAAAAATGAAATTTTTAAGTTGTTTTAATATTAAAAAAAAATATTTACTATCAGATATATATATATATAAACACGCGATTACTCGAAATACGATTCTGATATCAGAGAGAAGTCTGAGAATTATGATAACGGACGTGTTAGCTAATATCCGTTATCTAATTATATCATTTTAGACAGCACACATCTTTTATCCTCGTCCATCATGAATTATCAATTATTATATATCAATTATTATATAACTGATTTCGCACTCGATGCATTTTAAAAATAAGAATTCGATAACAATGAGTATATTAGATAGGGTGCTTTAGAAACCAAGTTATTTTATCCTTTCCATAACTCAATTGTTTTACTTAATAAATATTTTTAAATGTAAAATAATATAGAAAGATTATATAAAAAAAATCATATAAGAAAAACAGCTGACATAAGTAAATTGCATTATACACATGCAATAAATAAATGACTTTGTATCCAAACAAGATATTACGATACGGACGTGACATATCTTTTATCAGTCGATCCTAGTAGTTCCTAGTAGTTGAAAATTATTGATATAAAAAATAGATGATGCATGTAAAAGATCTTACATATATATGATCCTTTATATGTACCATCTATTTTTATATAATAATTATTGATTATTATGTAAAATTATCCAAACTGATTACAAACTTTTATCTTTAAAATCTTGTCAGTATCTTTTTTCATTATTACTACGTATGTATTACTATATACATGAGTGAATCAATTGCTTTTTAACACCGTCAACGGCAGCAACAACTCATCGTTCAGTAGTCTTGTTTTGTTACTTGCCTGAATATATTTGTGCGCTATTTGCCGGGAAGTGAAATTGGACATAGTGTTATACTTATCATCCTATCCATCATCATATATTAAGCTCGAAAACAATCATCGTTATAAATGGTACATATTTAATTCTGATTTTAATATTTGTCGGAAAGGTGTACGATACATAAATTTTTTCTTGTTTATATATATCCTCAATAAATACACTGAGAGAAAATTTTGTTATAGGAACAAATCAAAGGAAAGCAAATGTGATATTTGTTAAAAAA